GTTAATGACGTTGTTCAGCATCATTTATACGGGATCAAATGGAGAAATAAAGAACGGTGCGCAGATACCAATCCAAAACATGATCTACTTAAAGTTACGATCTCGGGTATCTGCCAATTTAACACAACGGAATTAATGTTTCAAATAAAAATTACAGCGCCAAAAAACACATATGAAAGCGAAACATGTTTCTCTAAGTGAGCTGTTTTGAAATGACCAAGGTTATCTTGGTGCTTGTTCATGAAACCTTGCAGATTTTGTATGCTAGAATTACGTGCAGCCAAATTCGAGAAGAGTCCAACCACATAGCACAAAATTATTCCGATAAACCGTCAGTGAGAAGTCGTTACTCAGTTTTGCACATTAAAATACAAAGTACATACAACAGTGTAAATAAATTAAATCACTAAAATGGTGATCGATGCATCAACACATTTTCGAAACTGGTCATTCAGAGAGATTCATAGACCGCGTTTGAAGAGAGACAGCAGCACATGCTGTGAAAATACGTCGTTGAACGTGTTTTCCTGTTGTTGGTAGTTTTTATAAACTTTATTTTTTATTCAGCATAAGAAAAAGAATCTAAGAGAGTTGAATAAGGTGACCGAGCAGGTTACAACGTCCATTCCATCGACAAGGAAACTATTCGTTATGACATACCTCGCACTAATGCGTAATGCTGGAACCATGATGACATACCTCGCACTAATGCGTAATGTTGGGGACAACCATCATGCTGGAACCATACTGAAAGACACGTTTGCAGCGGCAAATCGTTCAAGAGAAGATAAAAAGCTGCATATCTACGTTCTGATAACAACAATCGATAAAATACGATATAATGACATAATCGCCAGTGACGTCGCACCATACGTTTACTCTCCATTGCCGTTGATGATAAGTAATTGAAGACACTGAGGGCTTCCCACAGACCAGCAATACATGTTCCTCAAATCGACTAACCCATGGTTTTTCAAAGAAGGTTCATCAGAAAACAACGTTTCAGGGGAGGGGGGGGATCTTTCCTACTACTAAATCGGAAATTGACAAAATTTCACATTGCTGAAGTCATTTCCACGTAGCTCCTGATGATGTGGTAGACAGTAACAGACAAAATTAGTGGCGACGAAGGATTCGAACAACGTTTGTAGACTGATTTCTGAACCATCTGAAATTTCTCGTCCTCCCATACACAGACTGTTCCCGATAGCCCCCAAGACAACAACTTCGTTTATTTCGTTCGTCATTAGTTTTCTACGTTCACGCGTTTTTCGATTCCAAGTTCCTGTTTCTGACAGCTTTGGACAGATGCTATGTACACACAGTGCAACAAAACTTAAACACTTGAAAATTTCGAAATCCCAAACCGGAAGAGACATAAGCGTACAGTTGGCGTCATAATATCAGTCATTCGTAATCGCCTTGTGTTTGTCCGTACGTGGCTTTCCACTGCCTTCCATTAACTACAATTTGTGCAAGATGTCCATCATGCAAAGACGCCAATACGTCTGCCTTATTTGAAGAACAACGACAATTAATGTTGATGGACTTTCCGAGCCGTTTTTGTATAACTGACAGCAAAACGAAGGTGAACACTTTTCTTCGTTTGGTCGTTTATGTTTTCTTGTCTTCTTTAATGAATATGTAGCATACGCACAAACACCCATTTAAACTGTAAGGTTGTTTTTAATAATGAAACCCTACGTTTCAAGATATCCGTGTGGGACTCAACCCAAGAGCAACTGAAAATAAATTCCGAAAATGTAGATTGCGATATTCGAAACAGGATATGTAACTGCCGTTTGTCTGTAATGCAGTCCAGCTTCCTTTTGTTAACGAGCAAAAGGTAATGGTCAGTATTACTAATCGCATTATCACTGTATTATTTTTTCTGCATTGGACAGGCCAGAAATGCGAAAAAAAAACATTTTTCATGATGTTTTGTTCACTGGCATTCTGATTTCAAAGGTTCCGTTTTCGAATATGACTGCAGAAAAACAATTTTACTTGCAAAATCACATACTTTAAAAGTGTTTTAGTTTCGTACACCAGTTACTTGCAAAATATAAACCAGCATGTTAGCCCTTAAAAGGGCTCTTTTCAGGGCCTGGCACCTTTAATAAGGTGTTCAGAATCCGAGCTTGAACTACGATCTCATAAGTTTCGGCGTGCACAGCACCTAGTAAAAGCAGGCTTCGAGAAGAACCTATTTTTGTACGATCTGCAGTTGTACTGCCAAAACTTTCTGCAGTGGTTCTAAAACTGACTTTCCTAACCCAGCAAAGGACAGTACGATACCTGCATTCAAATTCTTAGATAGCGATACAGAAGACGACTATCAATTATAACACTGCGCTTACGGTAAACGCTGATCGATTAACAGAAGACTTTCCAGTGTTAGAGACGGTTGTCGTGTTGGTGGATCCCTCATACACTGATCTAGCACAATATTCGTAGTCCACAGCTCTATGACTTATGGACACTTTAGCCTGATATGTGACTGCAAGTGGCATATGAAGGCCTTCGATTACAATGACACGCGTTGCATTATAAAAGAATCAGCGTATTAGAACTACGTCATAGTCCTTGGCCCGTCAAAGAACGTATTCAGTTATTTACGAGACAAAAGCAAAGATTAAAATGCTGTTCCGAATGGTTAAGTTTCACATACAAAACCGAGATTGCTACTAAAGTGATGACACATCAGTATGCAAGAAAAGGTTAGAGATTGTGCGCATAACGTAAGGATTCTTCAGTGTTAGCCACAATTTGATATTTTCGAATGGCAGAGAAATTCCCCAAATGGGAATTCTTCATCCAATTACACAAGCGGGCAACACTGCCACATATTATTCACCTTCATTAACTTACTGCAGAAACAGATCTAGTACTCCAAAGCTATTCATACAAGACGGGTTTGAAATTACTTTTTTATAATATTTCGTTATACACGTTACCGAAAACAATTTCAAAGAAGCATTGTGAATTTTTATGAGATCTATATTTTGCAATTATATATTTCTAAAAAGATTTTAGACTATGACTCCAACTTCAAGAGAAGTAGAAGTTATACTGGGCCGCGACGGACCAATATTAACATTTACTGTCGATATAGTACCAAATTTAACGTAATTTCAGCGATGTCACCTAGACGACACACCTATCTATTAAGCGTACATATCTAAGTATTCATTCTGCACAAAAGCATGTAAAATATTCAGAGTACGACAGAATTTCGTCCATCAAAAGCGGTATTTCATATCCTTTAATGAGCTTATAGACACACTTCATACGAAGCATGGCTTGGGACCTATCTTCTTACGTTCGCTGTAGAAACCCACCTCAGCTACATTATTCCTTCGTTAGCACCTTAATGTGTAATGCCTTCAGGCCCGCTTATATACCTTCCGTGCATAACTAAAACCTTCCAATTATGCGATGTTTAATCCATTCCTCCTTCACCACACGCGAGAGACTGCAAGAGACAAGACAAAGTTTCCCGAAACTCCCTTCGCTATAAGAGATAAATTTGAACGTCTTGGGGATACACAGAGATTACATTCATTCTGGTGAAACTCACACAACTTTTCGTTTTCTTAATCTCTCAAGACAAATGTTGGCACAGATCATGGCGGCATCCTGAACAATTTAAACTCTCAACTTTAGAACGAAGTTAGGAAAGAGCCATAAAACAAAACACTGCGGTCTAATGTTTTTTGTTTGAATGAACACGTTTATATCGTCAAAAGAGAGGGCGAGACAAAACAATTGCTTCAGTCTTTGTTTATTCGTCGTCGCTTCTTCTACTGTCCTGGTCACACAGCTTCAAATTAACGGGTGATTTGTAAATAAACTGAAAGGAATTTATAAATAAGCGATAATGACCCATTTTAAGACGCGCCAATTATCCCAGAATTTTAATGGCTCAACTAAGAAAACCCACGAAAAACATCAGACAGGACAGCCGAATTCCGGGTCGGGTATTGAACCACGGACCTCCCACAAATATTAAACACGAGTTCTAACACTCGAATGAGACGTTAGGCAAGATGAACATAAATGAGTGGATAAGGATCTGGAAGGAAGCAGTCACGGTGTATCTGAAAGTCGCTATCCAGGGTTGATACCAAAGGCCTAAGAAAAACTAAAAAAAGACAACGATGTCGTAACATCCTGTAACTCGGCAGAGTTACGAACCCCGTACATCCAGGATACAAGTCTAATGTGTTACTACGACACACATGCTCGGCGACAGCAGAGATGAACAGTAAAATGACGCAAGGCTTACTCCAATTCAGAGCAGTCTACACGTACTTTTAACGTGTTTACACGGTCTTAAACAATTACAGTTACACGCCCAAATAAAATAAAAGTTACGTGTACCTTAACAAGACGTGTATATTTTACATTACCTTGTACACACCGTCATTTTAAATAAAACTTATTACTTCGATTTGACCTCAATGTAAAAGCTGTAATTATAGTGGACCAATATAAACCAAAACTACAATATTTAAAATTCTGGGAAATATAGACGCACCTTAACCCAATCTCGGTAGGGGCATCGGCTATTATAATTGAGGTGTATCATGGTTTTACTCAGACTGCAAATGCCGAGCTATTACATTCAAACAGTCGCTACCGGTTTCCTGTAAAAGTCCTTGCCTACTTATCATTCATTATCATCTTCCCAAATCAAATAATAAGCTTTACTGCTGAAAAGCATAGTTCCTAACATAAGACAATCCATTCGCCTAACAGCTCTTACCGCAGACCGAACAACTTCAGCGAAATCCAGTGGAAATACACACTACACTGGACTTAAACACCCACAATCGATAAACAAGGCCGTATATCCCTCCATATCACTAATATGTTTCAGTTACAGCCCACAGAACAGATAAAAGGACTCCAGTTTGCTTAATGCAAAACAGACGAGAAATGTTTCAAGTCACAGCAATGAAGAACACGAGCGTCAGTATTATTAAAAATAAACTTACAGTTTCCGGAATTATGAATTGCCTTGATTGCTTTCTTCATCTTGGTTAAACCGTCACGATCGAAATCCAGCGTCTGCAAAGAAAAGAGAGAAGAAAACATTTATTAACATCGTTACAGTCTAAAAGTTTACAGACAAACTGCGAAGACAACGTGGCAGCTACTAGTACACTACCAACGTGCACTCATAAAACCATGCACCACATGTCTGGATAAATTAGTCAAAATTCACGAGTAATCTTCATCAAAAACCAAGAACACAATAGAAACACCTGAAGGTCAAACATCGCTGCTAACAAAGCCTGTCACTGTAGCCTCCATGGCACAGCGTTTCGTTTAAGAAGCTAATATTTATTCGCATGTACTTGTTGTCTACATGTTTCTGTTACGAAACCATAAGGTTCATCAACGCCTCCACAAAAGCCTGGAAATCGACCCTGAGCAGAATCCTCTGCGATCCCTGTCCCGCCCAAAGTTATACTTTATTCTCCAAGGATCACCGTGATATTTAAAAGAAATAATCAGACATTATACACTCTATTTCGTATGTGAAACAAAATTAAACCTGACCACGTAACTTCACTTTGCACAATGTTACCAGAGTGTCCTTGTACCATCAAAGAGACGAGAACGATAGCTCAGCAATACCTGGAAAATGCAGCTGATATATTGGCCTCCATGGCAGAAAAATATCACCAATGAAAAACACGCTTTACAGTTTCGGTCTCAAAGGCCTTCATTAAACATTCACGTTAACACTACTCTTACTGGTGCCCATAAGGCAACTTTTATATCTCATTCATCATCGTTCAACGTGCACCACTGTACGCCAGTCGGGTAGTGATAGATGGAGGTGAATAAAGCTCTGAAGATGGGTCTTGGAGCCCTAAATATGTCATTGTATTAAACAAATTACAAAAATCTTTTGTGGTAGTTTTTGTAAAGGCGGTTAACACATACAAAATTGTAGTAGGCAGACAACATTAGAGTAACAGACAAAGCATCAGAAGGATATTTTTACAGGACAGACAATACTACCACGTGTTTTAGAAGAAGTGGAAGAAAGGATAATTTATTTTGACAGCCGATAATCTCAGCTGGGATGTAAGGTTTAAACCCAGTGCACGTGCTGACACAATCACTGGTCATTTGCCGCCCACACTGTTAATCTGTCCTAATGCCTATCGCTTTAATTAATTCGCAAATTTTCCGAATTTAAAATTAACGTATCCGGGAAGTTTGATTTATTAGCTGGTTGTCGATGCCGCAAAAAGGCAGTTACTTCCTGGAGTCACAACCCCCCCCCCTCACATTCCAGATGTTGGCTGCAGAACACCTGTCTCTCTTTAAATGTCATTACTCGGAAGACTGCGACAATGGTAAGTTCTGGCGAGAACGTGTTGATGCCATTTCGTTCAGAGCTCCTCCAGAACTACGAACTAATAACTCCATGGAGTAGAATCCCTACTGAGAAGCTGACAGTTACTCAGCTATTCAAATTCCTCTCCTTTTATGAAACCCGAAATCTCATTACCGTGTTCACAGAAGCCCACCATTAAGCCAAATCCTTACACCCTATTTCTTCGCACAAAGTGGTGATATATTTTTATGCACATTTTCAACCTGCAGGTTGTGTTAACACCTAATGAAACGTTAAGGTTTTTTGCATAATACATAAATGTCGTACAGAATCTATTGAAATGTTAGAAATATCTAAAAGATCGAACTTCACATCAAATACGCATGGCTTCAGTAGTTAATGACAAGAAACGTTAATCTAAATAATGGATTAGCGCGGCCACAATGTTCTTATACACACATTATTTCCGGGATCTACAATCACATACAATTTCAGGATAGAACATTAAGTATCGCTGGTTTAGATACCGGGTCAGGCGTTACATTACAACAATATTGGTATTAACGACAGTTATATATTAAAAACATAAAACTCTGGATGGCTATAGTGATATTATGCACACACAAATTTTCATAAAATTCCAATTTCGTTAAAAACTGATTAGGGTGGCAGGTACAAGGATATCATGACGTACAAGCTTGACAGACCTAAAGCAGACATATTAAACTCAATATCTACGAAGGACCCCCGAAAAAGCGGTGACTGTTTCGAAGGCGATCACTTGGACGCAGAAAACCATAACCGCCTACTTTCAGAAATTCCATGCTCAACCTTTGGAAACAATTTTCGTATATCGTATTTTCTCACAAGCGCAGGCACGTGATTTCACTTAAACACATTTCTACATTGTTTAGTTAAAATATAAAACAGCTGCACACAAACTGCTTTTTGACACGAATTTGAAATTTAACATTACCTAAAACTGGGTCATTCTGGACCGCACATCGTATAATTCGAAAGCTGAGTCGGGGGGGGGGGCATTTTAAACAAAGAGGGCTGCGAGTTTGACGTGTCTGGCACAAAGTTGGAAAAGTGCTATTGGGTCAGAGTAGACTATTGTTACCATATGCTCTGTAACTTCATGGAACCGCAAATACATACGTAACAATTTTAAACTGATGTAGTCCGGACGCCATATTATCATATTTCAATTAAATATTAACAAATACGAAAACCTTGCCACTACAGTAACACGAAAAACAAGCTTGGAAAGGTGTACTCTTTGGCGTTCACTGACAAGACAAAGGTGTTGTTCACACTATATCACGTCGGTCATTGTTGCACAAATGCGATCCGAGGGCATTCTACGAATTAGGTCAATATTAAACTGATGCGATACGAGGACAATGTTGTGCAACAATGTGTTCCAACAATGGAACCTCCGGCCCAATTGTGAGACATGGACGGGCCCAGTACGTGTTCTTTGTTCACTACAGAGCGTGAAGAATACCAAAAAGCCTCCAACCTTCAAGCTATATTCGAGCGTTAAAATAAAGGACAAGGACGTATGACTAAATGATAGATTTCTGTAGGAAGAAAATATTTGTTTTTGCATGCTGAAATACAAACATCAATAGAAATATCAGAGTGAAGGGAAATAAATAAGATAGCAAGGTCAGACACGTCTGTTCCTTCCTCTCCGATTCAACATGGCCTCAGTCTGCACACGGTCAGGCTACACATACGTCGACCGATTGCTGGATGATTCATGAGTCTGAAGAGGCAATGCTAATTGCAGAAGTAAAAGGAGTGCACGTTCATATAAAGGAAGACCGTCAATGAGAGACGAAAAGGATGATGCAGCAATCCGTCTTCGAATATTTGCACTCGCTAAAGGAATCCTAACGATATTTTCATTCAAATTTGTGAGATCAGGGGTACGAATTTTTGATGTAAGATCAGGCCATCCAGAAGCCTTTACCATCAGACAGCAGTACAAAATATTCTGAAAACTACCCATACCCGGATTCGAACATGGGATCCATGTTTAACCCTTAGATTTTTTTTTTGTAAATACCATTTTTCAATATTTCAAAATGTGTTGAAAGTTAAGTATAACATTAGAATTTATGAGATTTTTTCTAATCTACAATATTTAACGTATAAGTGTGATTTTTTTCATATGTATGTGTGTAAAATTCTTATCATGGTGAACTTTTTACATTTTAAGCTGTAAATACGCGAAAAATGGCCTGGGTATTTTCAATAGAATTTTGCAAATAGGCTTCGGGGTTAAATGGGTTAAGAAACAGTGCGTGATATAGTCTTGTCCGTTAATCGCTCTGCTAAATACTACAGTAACTTGCTGTTGTCTGCATGTCTGTCTGAATATCGCAAGACTACGTCAAGCTGAATTATGCAAATAACTTTTCCTTTGACACAGTACATGAAACATGAGACACCGGATGCGTTCAGGTTAAGAGATTAAACGATACCTGTGAATCACTTCGTTACAAAGTTGTTACCATTTCTATTCAGAGTTACAAACTCCGTTATCTGTTGTAGTCATTACACGATGATGACTCCTGGGCATTGCCCTCGGATTTCCATTAATCACTCAAGGATTAACAAAGAAGGTTCCACCGACTTTATCCATTTCAGCATTTTGGTTGAACTTGTCCTCGCTGGTACTGTGAGGCTAGTACGAAAGTCTTCAAAGTATCACTCGGAGAATTTCAATGTTTGGTTGACGTCATCAGCAAGTAATCTGGCGAACGACTGTATCTAAAAATACGATGTGATTGTTTCAAAACACATAGAATGTTACGTGTAACCACATAAGAAAAAGACATGTTATGTACATACTGCATGCTATGAACTCAAAATATTCCGCCCCGTTGCCACGTCTGTAAACCATTTAAAGCTCAGTGGTAACTATATGTACCACATGATTTCATATCAATAACTCTGCATTTTGTATAAATTGGGTTCGTATGATTCCAGGTATGAACAGCTATCATTTCCTTGAACACCATTAAAAACTGGTCTTTGTAATGGTGGTGGTGCTTTCTTTGCGGTGCGGACTGAACTCCTAACATTATTCAGACGACCTTCGGCTTAAAAAATCTCAGAAATTTAAAGAAAAGTCAAGTAAAACAAGAACTAATTAACAACATACATGCAAATAACAAGCAGCTGCAGCCTGAATTTCTACGTGAAGTTCCCTGCATTGGTCTGGGCTGACTCACGAGCTCTATGTAGAGACGACCTTAACCTTCATGACCTCTAATCTCTGCCAAATACCACAGTCGTTCTTCCACACATATAACAGAACAGCAGCCCTCAGAAGTGGCGAGTTCGGTTCAAAGAAACATATTACGGAACACCCCTTTATATTACATCGACAACAACAACTGCAAATTCATAATTACACAACATGCACATTTTGTCAGATACGAGATCAAAGTTTCGCACAATCGCCATATCTGAAATTGTTAATACATCGGTTGCCTATAACAAATACACACATGTAGAAATGGTAGGTATGTTAATACAGCACAAAATATCAATGGTCTATTTTCATCTGAAACTAAAAGTAGCTCAATCATACTTTTCATGAAGTCCTCCCGATTTTAATTAATTAAAATCACCCTCTTAAAGTGGAGGTCGCTAAATTACTCAACTTCCTAAATTGCCATTTAAACATCTTTCTTTC